TTATGTATTAATACAGTAGCATGAGTGATGTTGCATTGGTATGATGAGAGCAAGTTAACAAACCATTTCACGGAAGATTTTATGATCAAATACTGTTTCTAATTTTGGCCCTAATCTTACAAGCCCTGAAATTGCATACATGCATAGTTTTGTGGGGCTTATTGGAACTATTCACATGATATATTTAAGATTAGCCTCAAAGCCTATGTTTCTAATGTGTAATTTGTATGTTAGGTAATCTACATAATAGTGTTAGTGTGTTGTTGTTATGGACAGTAAGACTAGAGTCTCCTTTGTTTAGTCACTAAACACTAGTCCTCTCAGGATGAAGTTGGCATACTTAGTATTCATTAGGAAGTACTTTTTTCAAGAAAATGTGTTCAAATTTGCCTTTCCTACTTTTGAATTAGTAAAATGTTTGTCGTGTTTTAGTAAACAAATAGTTTAAAACATAACTGTTAAAGGAGATGCTATTAGTGCGTATGCAGGTTTATTTATTCTGCCTGATTAGTTAGTTAAATGTTTTTGGCTTTTTGGTTTATTCTCAAATAGTTACAACAGAAAAGGACATAGTGAACATGCAGAATATAGATTTTGTTTATATCATTGCTGAAGTAACATGTTGAGTATCAATTACAAAATTGTTACTGTTGACATACTTTTATTTAAAACAAATGTATTAGGGTATTAGAGCCTAAGCTTTCGTTAGCTACATTTTACTTCCTCAGTTGATGAAGAGAAAACGAAATAGAGAGAAAAAATGATACAGGGATGATTAATTTGTTTATATCAGTGTTCAATCATGTATATGTTCAATGTCGATATTTTTTTAAACCAAATCTGAAAACTGTCAGTATAGTATCGTTTCCCAATTGTAAGATTGCAAATATGCAAGGTGGGTTTTTTTGTTTAAAGAAAAACATCAAAGCTTTAAATTCTTTAGCAGCCTTAGCCTGATATAGGAGTCTGATAAGTACAATAAGCAGGTACAGTTGTACCTCCCTGGTCCAGCACCCTCTAGACTGCTCAGGTCCTGAATAAGGGAGTTTGCCAGACCAAGGGAGGTCAGGTGTCTGGATTCTCCTGGGGCTCCCTTCCTGACCACCACCCTGGCCAGTCTGTTGCCTCCCTGGCTCTACTACCTCTAGCTCTGCTTGCAGAGCTCTGCTCCTGGTTGCCTGGCTGACATGGGGCAGCAGCCACTTGTGGGACTCTGTTCCTGTCACATACCCCACACAAGCTAGCAGCCATTCCCGGGGTTTTGATTCCAGCTGCCTGGCCCTGTGCAGGATAGCAGGTGCTACCAGATGCCAGACCCCACTTCCAGCTCCCCGACTCCACTCCCTGCCCCATAGGTTGCCAGACCACTAGCCACAGTATTCCCTTAAGCTGTGCAGCAGCTCAGCTTCACAGGTGATTGATCAGCCCCTCTGACTGGGCAAGGCTGATCAACTACCTGTGAAACTGAGCTGCCGCACAGCTTGGAGGAAACACAGACTGGCCAGGCTCTGCTCTTGGCTGCTGGCCCACTAGACTAACTCTGTTCCCAGCTGCTCTCAACCTTTGCCACTAGGGCTCTTTGGTCCAGCAACATCCATAGTCTTAACAGACCACAGAAGTTGCCAGACCAAAGAGTACTGGACTAGAGAGTTTCAGCCTATAGGATGTAGCCCATGATTGAGTTTGATATTAGGCTTTAATATTTTGGTGTGAGAAAGCACTCAATACTTAATGTTTAATCTTCAGTTTTATCTTTCTCTTGTAATTGTTTTTGCACTAGAGATCTTGAAAGAAATTCGGGTTTTAAAATATTGTTCTCATTCAAGAGATGGCCTGTGGGTGCTCCACTCCAGGTCAAGGTGCACCCCTGCACCTTCGATCAGAGATTTTTCACGACAGTTCCCCAATAAGCCATGTATGAAAGTGCCTTCCTCACAAGTGGTCAGTGTTTGAGTAATGTATGCACGATCTGGATCCTCAGTTCTTTCTCTACTGTTCTTTGGATTGAGACAAAGCTCAGCAGTCCCGCTATTTTTCACTCTCCATAACTTTATTTCCTTGCCGTTCTAATTCATAGTTAGTCTTTTTCTCATTTTTAGATTATCTTCAGTAATTTTTTACATTTAAAAAAACCCACGTTATTCTTTACCTCAGCTTACATGCCTTTCCTTCCAGGCTTCAAGAGATAATGTCTTTCAGAGATGCCATCAAGATCCAATCACAGTGTGTAAACTGTTCGGTGGAATCCCACGTACTACAAAAGTGCATCCTCTGTAGGAAGCTCAAAGCTAAGATTCCACAAAGACAAAGTCTTGAGATTGAAACAATTTTTCCTAGACCTCTGTCTGACCCAGTCCAACATCCTTCCTCACTACAGAACTCTCCTCACACGTCTTCAAAATGCAATAATAATAATAACGGGGGAGAATGGTTGGCTTTCTCTCCTAGGCACATCTGCCACGTGAACCCCCGGCACCACAGACTCATCCTGCTTTCCCTGCATCAGCATTGCCTGTATACACTGTCCCATTTGCCTTCATTGCAGGGATGAGGAACCTCTGGCCTGAGGGCGGGATGTAGCCCCTAGCTTGCCTGGATCCAGCCTCCTCCGAAGCTCGCCAGCATTGGGGAACCCACTCTGGCATCACCCCCACTTTTCACTTTTTTTTGCGGCCCCTGACTTATATTTCTGTGGTCAGTGGTCCCTGATCTAAAACCCCTTCTTTAGTGCTTCATCACATGACATGGGAAGGTGCAGCGCTGCCTCAGTTTCTTCACTTGACTGTGTATCATGATCCTGAATCTCCTCTGCTGGGCACTGACCCATCACCAGGACCTTCGGTGCCCACTTGCCACTGTCTCCTAGCCCCATTTCAGATACCTGTTACTGTGTGATATAGTAGATTACTGTCCTCATATTCCAGGGAATATTATCCCTGGTATAATCACCACTAAGTGGGACCACTCATGTTCTTTCCCAACATACTAGGGTCCATGGGATACTATAAGAGACAGTCTAGTATTTTTTATGTTCCCTTCGAGGAATATATCAGATCTTCCCCACCAACTTTTCATACTGATTCTGAGCATAGTTCTGACCCAGCTGTTCATCCTGCAGGGGAAGTCCCATCTGACACCTCTCCTACTGCCAAATACTTATCATAAGAACATAAGAATGGCCATACTGGGTCAGACAAAAGATCCATCTAGCTCAGTATCCTATCTGACAACAAATGGCCAATACCAGATGCCCCAGAGGAAGGGAACACAACAGGTAATCATTACGTGATCCCTTTCCAGTTATCCATTTCCAGACAAAAAGAGGCTAGGGACACCATTCTACCCATCCTGGTTAATAGACATTGATGGACGTTACCTCCATGAATCTATCTAGCTCTTTTTTTGGAACCCTGTTAAAGTCCCAGCCATCACAACATCCTCTGGCAAAGAGTTCCACAGGTTGACTGTGTGCTGAGTGAAGACAAACTTCCTTTTAAACCTGCGGCCTATTAATTTCGTTTGGTGACTCCTAGTTCTTATATGGTGGGATTAAGTAAATAACTTTTCTTTATTCACTTTTTCTACACCTGTCATGATTTTATAGACCTCTATCATATCCCCCCATGTCTCCTGCTTTCTAAGCTGAAAAGTCCGATTCTTTTTAATTTCTATTCATATGGACCCATTCCAAAACCCTAATAATTTTTGTTGCCTTTCTCTGAAGCTCTTTCTTTTTTAAAGATGAGGCGACACAGTATTCAAGATGTAGGTATAGCATGGTTTTATATAGAGGCAATAATAGATTCTCTTTCTTATTTGCTATCCCTTTTTTAGTGATTCCTAACATTCTATTTGCTTTTTTGACTGCGGCTCCACATTGAGTGGATGTTTTCAGAGAACTATCCACAGTGACTTCAAGATCTCTCTCTTGGGCAGTTGTAGCTAAATTAGTCCCCATCACATTGTATGTTTCTTTATTACCACAGGAGGCTATTAAGCCCCCCAACCCCTACACTACTGATGAGTTCACACATTTCCAGAACTTGTTTACAAGAGTAGCCAAGGAGCTCAAGATTACTTTTGAAGAAATGGCTGAAACTCAGTTTGAGCTCGCTGATATATTAGAAGCAATCACCTCTTTCAAAATAGAGCTGATAATCAAGGGGCCCATCATGAAATCAGCTAAAGCCATTTGTCAGACTCTGATCACAATACTTCCCATTAGCAAGAAAGCAGACTGCAAATATTTGTCCAATTGTCCCATCTAATGGTTCCAAGTTTGTATTTACACATCCAGTCCCCAGTTTGTTAGTTCTGGAGGCAGCAAATCAGAAAAATAGTTACACTTCCAGGCCTCCCCATCTGATAAGGAAAATAAGAGAATAGACTTATTTGGTTGCAGAGTGTATTTCTCTTGGACCATACAATTTAGAATGGTGAACTACATGGTGTTCTGAACTAAGTGCGACTA